CGTGCCACGAGTAGCGGCTGGCGCGCAGATCTCGACGCGGGGGCGGCAGGCCGAATAATTAGACCAAAATCGCTCGATCCAAAATGGCTACGTGCTCTTTGGGGGCAGGGTGAGGCAGAGGAGGCGGAGGGGGAGCGCTCCCAAGACCGCCCGTCGCACCGGATCCCAAGGCCTCAGCTTCCCGAGGGGCGCCCTCGGAGGCGCAGCTCGATCAGAGGAGCGCAGGAAAGGCGCCCCCCACCCCCGACCACGACGGAGGGGGTGAGGCGGACTCGCAAGGTGTGGGGGGAGGGAGGGGGCCGGCCCACGCTCGGGCGCCGGTCTCCTGGGCGCATCGCGGACAGGTCCTCGGCAGGCCCTCGACAAGACTGCCCCGTGCTCCTGAGCAGGCCGGGGCACCTCCGGGCCCGTCGGTGGGGAATGGGCGATTGGCAGGTCGGTACAACCAGCTCGTAAGTTCAAGATACGCAGACAGGATTCGAGGGCCTCGGGGGGGCATGTTGGCGTCTTCGAACGGGTCTGGCCAGCGAGAGTCGCCAAGGATGGACCGAAGGAGCAAGGATGCAATGGCAGCCTTGGAAAACTGCGAACCACAACTATGCGACGTGACTGCACCCTCCCCCCCCTGAGCCCGCTCCCCCATGTCGGCAACCCTTTATTCACGCCGAACATCTGTGCCGGCAAGCGGGAAAACCGAAAGGTACCAGGTACAGATACCGCTACCCTGGGCCTCTCCGGGGTTGCGTTCTGGCCGGAACTGCGAGGCGATTCCAGCGTTGGCGAAGAGGGTCTCCCATACAGGCCTCCTAGTGGGGTCTGAGTAAACGATGCCTCGGTGATGCATCGGCGCCGTCGGCGCGGGAGAAATCGGGCTCCACATCGAGCCGCATCGCCGATGCATCGGCGATGCGGCGCGATCCTCCGACAGCATCTACTCCGACCCCATTTGGGACGCCTAGATCCCAGGAGGCCCAAAAGGGAACACCGCGAGGGAAGGGTAACAGTACCCGTCGGTCGGACGAAGTGGGTAGAAACGTGAAATAAGAAGGCTTCGATAGTAGATTGGGCCTCCGTCCGCCCCCTGAGGAGGGAACGGGGAAACCACTCGACTCCTAAAACAGGACGGCGCCCAAGTGGAGTGGGATCTGGGCATCCCAAAACGCCTGCCTTCAGCGACCGAGGAGTCTGGGCAAAAGAGCCCTGGGACACACACAAATTCTATTGGAAGTACGCCGTGTATCGAGGGAAGCCGAGGCGCGGGAACCCTGCGGTGTGCCTGCAGGTGACGCCCGGGTATACCGCGGCGTGTGCGAACGTGGACCACGCCTGCCACGAAGCGTACGCGCGGGCGACCGTCATTGCGCACTGGCGGCACATGGCGACGGCGGACCGCAAAGCCATGATCCAAGAGGACATCCGGCGCGACGTCCGCCCTGTGCCTGAAGTTTGCGTTGGGGCCACGGAGTTCGCTCACGATTCTGGTGGCGATCGGTTTCTGGGAGTGCAGGACCTGTGGTTCAAGTCGGCGGGGCGGGCTTGGGGGGGCAGGGCGGATCTGCCGCGCCTGGTGCCGACGAACCATCTCGCGCCGCGTCCGCCTCTGCAGCCCCCGGTTGCTACGAACCCCACCGACCTTCAAAATGGCGCCCAGCACCTCCGTAGAACGGATTCGCGCGTTCGTGCTGCTCCACGACCCACGCCGGCACCCACTGGCGAAGCATCGGGATTCCCCTGTATTTTCCCAGGATCTTCTGGGTTTTCGTCCCCCCCCCAACTTCCCATAGTTTCCCAGTTTTCCTTGGAGTCATCGGCACACTGTGTCTGTGTGCTCGCTCCCCTCCTGAAGGGGCACCCTTCCCAGGAGGCCCAGCACAGCAAGTGACTACCTACCAGACCACCCCAACCCAACCCGAAGACCCGAATTTCGGGTGGGGGGGTCCACATGCGTTTTTGTCGATGTTTCCCGACCCCCCCACACTGGAAATCGAGGGTAAATCTGAGCCTTCGGGTTGGGTTGGGGTGGTTTGGTGGGTGGTGAGCAAGGCAGAGCCACGAGGGAAGGGCCGCAGCGTGGGTGCACTGCCGCCTGACGAGCAGGGCCCCCCTCCGTGCCGCTCTCGCGCGGCCTGCCGCCGCCCCCCGCCCAGCCCGGGAGGGCGCCGAGCAGGCCGGCCGCCCGGCGCGCTCCGAGAGTCGGGGCGCGACTGCCCCGGGGGTGGGCGCACCGCCTGGTCGACGACGAGGAAGACGACGACCACGACCACGACCACGACCACGACGACCACGACGACGACGACGACGACCACCACGACCACGACCACGACCACGACCACGACCACGAAGACGACGACGACGACGACGACGACGACGACGACGTCGACGACGACAATCACAACCACGACCACTGCTGGGCGCGCCTACATGTAGCCCTAACCCTTTGGGACGGGAGCTGAGCTGGGAGAGCCAGAAACATGAGGGACAAGGGGCCTTGTCCTGCAGAAGTGGCAGGCTAGACTACCCATATGTCTGGGGTCATCCCTAAACACCGGGGACCTAAGTTAGGTCACGAAGCCTTTGTCCATATAGACTGGGGCTACGTAGTTTTATCGTACTAACTAATTTCCAGCACTGAGGGCCACATCCCAGAATCAAGTTTGAGCACCCCGAGAAATTATCGAAACAGTGCCTGCCCGACCTGCCGACGAAGTGCCGAACGAGGATCGCCTCCCAGGGCCCGACGATTGAAAGCCCTCCAATTTCGGTATCTCCCTGGTGCTCGAAATGATTCGTTCTGGTGGTCAAGGCTACAGTAGGTCAGAGCATCATGGGATTAGGGGTCGTCTTGTGTTGAGTCAGACATGTCACCATACAGGCGGCTTTTGAGAGACAAATGAACACTGGTCACACAAATACTCAGGACTGGTCAAAAATGGTTGAAAAATCGTCCCTATACGATTTTCTGACTGTGTTTGAATACTCCTCCTGTCGAAGACGCGCCCGAGTCAAAGTCCTGTGCTCCGTGGTGCAGCGAAAGCGACCCCGGGGCGGACCCGGCGGGCGCAGGCCCACAGAGCCCCTGCGGCCGCAGCACCCTCTCTCTCTATATCTCTCTCTCTCTCACTCTCTCTCTCTCTCTCTCGAGAGAGAGAGAGAGAGAGAGAAAGAGAGAGAGAGAGAAAGCGAGAGAGAGAGAGAGGGAGACTCTCGAGAGAGAGCGAGAGAGAGAGAGAGAGGGGGAGAGAGAGAGAGAGAGAGAGAGCCGAGAGGAGCCAGGGAGACGTACAGTCCACCCGTATCATAAGGATAGACGGTAAGGACGCAATGGCCTTGGAAAGCCATGCGAGAAACTGGCCAGCGACAGTCGCTGAGGATGGGCCGAGGAGGCAAGGATGCAAGGGCACCCTTGGGAAGGGTGCCCATCCTTGCTACATCCCTAGGACGAAAGTGTGTTCCCCTTGGGCCCAGAACGGCGGTTCGAAGTCTTGTTTGAAGTCTTGAACAAACGCGTATGGGATAACCGCCGTCGGACCCCATGGAGGTCGAGCGGGTCCAATTGAGGTTATGGTGTTTATTTCGGTGGATCCGATTTCCGTCCGCGCGGATCCGACTTCGGATTTTCTGGATCCGCGTACGGGCTGATTTGTACGGCAAATCCGATTTCTACCCCGCTTGAAACTTATATTATTGAATTAAAACGGGAAGCCGCCGTGTGAAGCGTCTACGGGGGAAAGGGGTTCGGCCATCAACGGGTCCTGTGCTGTCTCGTGAACCCCTATTAACTTTCCGCGCGCTGGGACCCCACTAAAAGTGAATGCGTATCTCTACTCCGGGACGAGCTGCACGCAGCTCGTCCAGACGCCGTCCGTTCGGCGGCGACGATGATATCTGTCGAACTCATCATCGCCAGCTTCACCTCAAGAGAAAAATGTTTCGTCCTGCGTAAGTATGCGGGTTGACTTATGTATAGTGGAGGCAAGTCCACAAGAAACCCTACACAAGAAACCCAACCGTGAGACCCCAGGACGTCCATGGATGTTTGGTGTAGAAATGTCACTCTTTCCATCGCAACTCCATCGAAACCCAAGAAACCCAGGGCACCCTGGAGGCAAGCAGAGTGTTTCTTGGCATGGGCCCCTACTGTAGGACTCGGGCGTCGGGGGCCTCGGGCTGGCCTGACGGACCACCTATCAGACCACCCCAACCCAACCCGCAGACCCAAATTTCGGGTTGGTGGGTTCGGGTTGCATACGTGCTTTTCAATGCTCCCCGACGGCCCCCCCCCACTGGGAATGGCGGGCGAACTGGAGCCTAGGAGTTGGATTGGAGCGGTTCGGTTGGTTGGCCTGACGGGGTCATCATGAAACTGACACCCAATCTGAAATTTGACGCGAGCTCCCGTCGCAAGCACCCCGTGAAAACTGGGCCGTCCAGGACGCGCTCGTCAACACAGCGCCGGCTAACCCGAGCTCTGGCGAACTCGACCCTTACGTTTCCCCGAGGGAGAAGGCAAGTCGCGAATCGCCTTGGCAGGCAGGTGGCTCGAGACCTCGCCATCGCTCACGACCATCTCTGGAGTACCTTTGAATGTCGTGCGCTTATTGTTCGAAAATGATCTAAGATGCTCCTGAATGGCCCTCGCCGAGGAAAGAACACATGCTACGTATTCGACGATGGATCCCTTGATGCCCACTGGCCCAGGGCGGTCTTCGGCGGTCGCTGGCGGACTTCGGCGGTCTTCTGGCAGTCTTCTGACAGTCTCCTGACGGTCTTGAGCGGTTTTCGTCGGTTTCCAGCGGTCAGCGGCGGGTTTCGGCTCGAAGGCTGGACGACTGCGGCTAGCATTAGAAAGTCCAGGACTCGCTAGGGACGGGTTTCCTTTCAAACCAGCCGAAGCCTTCCGGAAACCCTCCGAAAACCCTCCGGGAAGGGTTCCGGGAGGGTTTTGGACGGGTTTTGGTCGTTTTGGGGGGGAAACTGGTCCCTAGCGAACTCTGGACTCT